GAGCTTCCAGAATTTTTTATTTTAAAAGCATTTGATATATTAGGAAACATATTTGTAATTCATATACTGCAGGACTTATTTTAAAGAATGCTAACAATTGCAATGAAAAATAGACATGAATAGGATATTCACCAAAAAGATATGTCTCTAAATGTATTTTAAAAGTTCATTCTTGCCAATTTATTTTATTGTGATAAGAACACTTAACATGAATCTATCCTCTTGACAGTTTCAACTGTGCAATACAGTGTCCTTAACTGTAGACACATGTACAGCAAACCACCAGACTCTATTCATCTTACAAAATTGAAACACCCGTTGATCAACAACTCCTCATTTCCCCCTCTACCCAGAGGCAGTAACTGATAAGGAACACTCAAATGGTAATTTCTGATGAATTGCTAAAGGCTGAGGGTTAGGTTGAGAGTTTAAAATGTCAAGATGTACAAGTTCTAACTCTCTAGTCCATAGTCAGCCTTCAGCAATTCATCAAAATTACCATTTAAGTGTTCCTATCAGTTACTGTCTCCAAGGGTTCCTGTTCCTGATTGGTTGATCTTGTCTGTGATTCTCTTCTCATCTGCTGTCTCCCCAGATTTTGGGCTAATGGTTTACCCTGTGAGATCAATTCTCTGATGGACATGAGAAAAGTTGTTGATTTTCAGCTTCTTCAGCATTTTGTGTTGGAGGATGGGAATGATGCCTTTCCAGCTCTTTACACGTTGAAGCTGAATGTAGAAGTCCTGACATTTTTTAGTCTAATAATTTCTTTGTAATAGCTTGAGATGTAATTCACATATATAAAATTCATCCATTCCATTCCTAGTAGCGGTCTACGATTCTAATTTCTCTATATCCTTACTAGCGTTTGTTTTTTTTCTTTTTGATTAGTCATACTAGTGGCTGTGAAGTATCTCATTGTGGTTTTTATTTGTGTTTCTCTTTTTGCTAATGATATTGAACATCTTTTCATGTATGTATTGGCCATTTGTATATTTAGAGAACCATTCAATCAGATTATTTGCCTATTTTCAATTGGGTTATTTGTCTTTTCATTAAGTTGTAAAAGTTTCTATGTAATTTAGATAAAAGGTCCTCATAAAGTAAATGATTTATAACTGTGTTTGACAATGGTATTCAGCGGGCGCGCCTCCGCCCAGAGAACATCAGAGGATCTAAAGGAAGCACCACTTCTGTCATCAAAATTATTTTTATTTGCATTTACTGGAAAAGATAGGTAGAGGAGGATATCAGTGTTAAAATATTCAACTCATTTCATTCTATGTGTTCTTTGACCTATATGAGTTAATCTAATTTTACCAGAAGTGTACAAGTTAATTCCCAAATGTGTACTCAAAGAATTTTCTGGTGTAACTTCTTTTTTTTTTTTTGGAATAGATTCTTTTGAGAGCATGCCACAAAGTATGTATTGTAATAATACAATATATAATTTGTTCAGAGAACAACAGTCTGGTGAAAAAATTATTTTCAACTCAAATAGTTAAAGGATCACAGGTATCAGACAAAATAGACTTCAAAACAAAGAAAATAAGAAACAAAGAAGGACATTACATAATGATAAAAGGGTCACTACAACAAGAGGATATAGCCTTTAAAAACATCTATGCACCTAAAAAGGCAGCACCTACATATGTGGAAAAAAAAAACTAACATAATTAAAGGGGGAAATAGAATGCAAGGCATTCATTTTAGGAGACTTCAAAACACCAATCACTCCACAGGACAGATAAATCAGACACAAAATAAGTAAAGAGACAGACGCACTGAACAACACATTAGGACAGATGTACCTCAAAGACATTACAAAACACTCCACCCAAACGAAGCAGGATACACATTCTTCTCAAGTGCACATGGAACATTTTCAAGAATAGCTCATATATTAGGCCACAAAAAGAGCCTCAGTAAATTCAAGAAGGTTAAAATTGTACCAGCCAGCTTCTCAGACCACAAAGGTATGAAACTAGAAATAAGTTACACAAGGAAAACAAAAAGCCTGCAAACACATGGAGGCTTAACAACATGACCCTAAATAATCAATGGATCAACGACCAAATAAAAACAGTCAAGCAATATATGGAGAGAAATGACAACAATAAGTCAACACCACAAAAATCTGTGGGACGCAGTGAAGGTGGTGCTAAGAGGGAAGTATATTGCAATACAGACCTACCTCAGAAAAACGCCATATGAACAGC